ATAAAATTATAAACTACAGTACAATGAGTCAGAATCTATTCTGCTTTAAATATACCATGAAATTGAAATATGAACTATATACATAAAATTACCAAAATTATGGATGGAGTACAAATCCAGATATTAAATTCTAGTCCAGAAATTGTTTATATTTAAATTCTATGTTAAATTTACTTTTAAGGTGCAAAGTTATTTTAGACCTCAGAGAATACTCTCTTAACTTGATTAACCATTCTTGCAAAGAATCAAACATAATTTCTACTAAGAAGCATATAACATCTCATAAATGCTTTATTAGCTTCCCATACTGTAGATTAGTATTCCTCAACCTTGGCAAATTTAAGGTGTGTGGACTTCAACTCCCAGAAATCTCCAACCAGTATGCTGGGCTCAACGTGTGTGCTCAAGGAGGGAGGGAGGAACAAACAGAAAATGACAACAAAAATATAGTTGAGGTATAAATTATTCTTGCAGACATATTTTGATTGAACAAATGAAATTGGGAAAAGCCTTTTTGTTCTGTGTATCTAAATTTGATGGCAGGCTTTCCTTGTGTGGATAGGACTGCATGGTGCAATCACTTTAAGTGGCTATGAGAGGATGAGCAGAGATTTGTGCTTCTGTTGAACGACTTACTCTTCCTCACATATAACTGTCTTATGCATTTTTCAGCTTTGCATTTTGCAGGACATATGGTTTAGAGCAGGAAGATGGGTTGTTGTAAAACAATAATACATGCTTCCCCAATAGTGAACAAACATAATTATTTTCTTATTTGTTCCTTCATGACACTTCTGCCAAAGTGAAGAATAGATTCATATTTTTGTTAATTATCATACATTCCTCTAGCACTTTGGAAGACAATGGTTCAGTGTTCTATTGCAATAATAATAATAATAATAATAATAATAATAATAATAATAATAATAATAATAATAATAATAATAATAATAATAATAGTAAAGTTGGAAGGGACCTTGAAGGTCATCTAGTCCAACCCCCTGCTCAGGCAACCCCCTGCTCAATCATATAGACAGTATCATGTTTTATGCCCTGGTAAACAGATAATCATGAACTTGCGTGTTCCTTTTTATAGTCTGTCCCACAGTTTCAATAAAGCTAATTTAGGTCCAAATCTTAACATGACCAATCATCATATATCAATAACTAGCTTCATTTTATGCAATATTTTTCTTGATTCCTTTCAAAAATATGTTCCATACAACTTCACAGCTTCTTTTTTGGCTTGGAAAAGGAATAATAAGAAGGATTCTTAAAGAAAATTATTATAAATAGTAATAACATCAAATGTGAATTTCTCTTGAGCCTCAGAATTTCTTCTCTGTTGATTTTGGCGTGCTAGAGCCTCGTTTGTTTTTGATTATCATTTTTGAGAAACGTTTTCAGTAACAGGGTTGAATAATTGATCTTCATCACTAATTATACTGCTCTCCACAGGTGTCTGGAAAAGGTCCAGATGAGACTCCACACCACCTCCAGTTTGAAGGCATAGAAAGACAGTATGCATCCTTACCCAGGTAAGCTTCATTGTATATTTATACATAGTCACTCATTAATGCAGACACAAGTGTGTCCACACAAATGTTTTTTCACAGGCAATCAAGGAGTCTTTTCCTCCTCCCACTGTTCCACTGTTTAGCAAAATCTGCACTGAACAGACATCTGGCAATGAAATGAGAGATTATGTTGCAATTTTGTTATGCTGCCCTTCTGCTGATGATTTAGTGCCATCTTTATAGCTGTGTTAATAATTTAGACAGCCAATGTGGGGAGGGGGAGAGATGAAGTTTCAATCACTGAACATGTCAGCAAGAATCATGATCTGTAGACAAGGATGTGATGCTGAGGAAGCTTGTTCTATGAGATTTTAGCCACTTTAGCCGAGCTGAATGAGACATCCTTTGTGGAGGACGAGGGGGCTGCTGGGAACAGTTGCAATCACAGTCCCACATCAATTGCTCTAGAGTTTTTTGAAGGAAATTTCATTTTTCACAGCAAAGGCATTCATACTGTAGCCCCATACCTAAATAATTGAGTAAATCTCCATTAATGAAGTGAACTTTCTAACCCTATATTTTCCAAGACAGACAGTTTTGAGGTTAAGTCATCAGGCTAAAATCTGGGAGACCATGAGTTCTATTCCTGCCTTAGGCAAGACATCAGCTGGGTGACCTTGGGCCAGTCATTCTCTCTCATCTATAGGCAGGAGGCAAGAGCAAACCACTTCCTAAGTCTTACCAAGAAAACTGCAGGAATTAGTCAAGGCACCTGACTTGGACTCACCCTCCTCCCGAAAAAAATCCAAACTGGTTGAAGGCAATCCATGCCTATGGATTTTGCGACCACAGCTCTCAGAATTCCCAGCCACCCCAACCCCCACATTAAATTAGTTGGGAATTCTGGTAATCCTGGTGCATTTCAAAGAAAATGTCTGTTTTC